ATGAATTGAATACTATCACGTTCTTAACATATTTTCAGGGCTCTACACTGGCAATGATAAACTGCCGACTGCAGTCATATAAAGTTACTAAACCTTGTGAAGTTAAAAGACAAACGTTCAGCATCTTTTAAAAGAAACTTTAGGTGAATGTTTACATATATAATCATTCCACCCTGGAAAAAACGGGTTCAAATGAATCATTAAAAGCCCAGTCTACATGAGACGTGTCTTGTGCCGACATTAGACATAGATTAAGTTAGATATTTCTGTGCCTTTGCTTTGAACGCCTACCTTGCTAACTGAATCTGCCCTAATGGAGTCCAAATGACTATTAGAGCAAATAAACAAAAAGAGAGCAGAGTTTTCACACTGTCCCACTGATACGTTTCACATCACCGCTCTTTCATTTAACGTCTTTCTTGTGCACTTAAAATGCACCAAACATTTAGATGGAAAAATCCCACCCCGTCCACAAACGGAGACAGGTGCAGACTCACTCTGAGCAGAGGGAACGACTACTGTTTCCATGGTGATGGCTGGGACGACTCACGTTTGATGCCTGTTTTGTAGAGAACGGCTGCGTGCAGACCTCCTGTTTGTTTATTCATTCGCTCATTCATCTCAGTGGTGCCCGGCTCCGCTTGTGACTCCGATGGTGAATTGATGTAAACAGAGGCCTGGATTGTCTCAGGGAAGCGTCTTAGCAGGTTACAAAAGGACAGATGGAGCGCATCGGCGAGAACCTGAACCCGAGACTCCTCTGCAGAGATGTGAACAAGTGACAGAGAATCAGTCGTCAGCTCGGTTAGAAGGGACATCCTTCTGAGCAGGGTTCTGTGAAAAAAAACATCTTACCTGTTGTAGGTAGCTGTTTAATGTGCTCAATTTGGAGAAATAGAGTTTATTTCTGAGCAGACTGAGACGGGAACGTGTATTCTGAGCTGGGCCAAGACCAAAGTGAATCGCTGACATTTTAAAGCAACTCAAATATTTAATAAATCTTTACTTTTCTATCAGTTTTGTATTTCACAGACATTTACATTGAACTATATGGTTGTTTGCAAGTGAAGCGTAGTGTCAGCAACAGAGGTGGTAAATCTGGTTCGCTTCACAGCCTCAGTTAATCTGAGTCAATCCAGTCAATCAATCTGAATTGATCCAGTTCAATTGAATCACTTGACTCACTTTGCAACAATTCCAAACACCAACAAATGAACAACTTACAAACAATAAAACTTGTGCTAAATGTATCTTATTGGTCTAAAACGTGTGAATGTTACGACTCATCTGAGTCCACTGTTTTATCTGTGAGTTTTCCACTCACCTGAGTCCACAGCGTTTTTGAGGATTCAGCAGTTTTTCTGGCAAGTCCACTAACTCGTGGACTTAGCAGCAGTCTGGCAGAGGACATGTCAGATTTAGTTTAGACCTTGGACTCATGAGTCCTGATTCAGTGGGAGGATTTGGATCATTAACTCAGATTAGTCATAATTGATCAACTCAAGTCAGCAGCAGCTAGCTGTAGCACTTTTGTTGCAGCCTGGCAGGAATTTGATATTTCAGTCAGAATAAACACAAAATGCAAAATTGACAGTGGTGTAAAGTTAAAAAAAAAAAGATTTGCATGAACTGCTGTAAAAAATTTAGATTATGGATTTGCGTTAAAACCAAAAACTAGCTTTGAAACAGATTAGCCACTAGTAAAATGTCAGTCTGGTCAATATGGGACTTGTTCCAAAGCAATTATTTTTTTCTGTAATAACTCAAAATGTTTATTGCATTTCATATGAATGCTATTTTAACACCCCATTTGGCACTTTGTGGTTATTTTGGAAATACTATTATGATATACTGTATCTCCTTTAAGTGTGTCTGCGAGCTGAGTTTGGAAATAGAATCGGATGAACTTAACTCTAATGTGAAAATCACAGAGATTAAACAAAGTATATATATATATATATATATATATATAGCAGGAAATACTTTAACATTTTAAGACTGGAGATGTTTCAAGACAACAGCTATCTGATTTGGTCCTGGCCA